AGGAGAGCGAACCTGACGAGGTCAAGAGGGTACGTCATGATCACTGCCGTCACTCCAGCTAGCGATCCAGCTATCAAGTTCGTCAAGTTGCTGTGGACTATGACTTTCTTGAGGGCCAGCTTGTACTCCTCGTAGGACAAAAATCTGCAGTGGAAGAGCCTGTCAATGTGCAGGAGTAGAGAAGAGGAGGAAAAGTAGAGGAGAGGAAGGGAAAATGTTTGTTCTAAATTTCCAACTCCTTCACCCCCATCTTTGGTCATCATCATCATCACCATCTCCTCCTCCTCCTCCTCCACCTCCTCCTCCTCCATCTTCATCTCCATCATCGCTTCATCGTTACACCCAACACTTACGTGATCGACATGTACGGGACCACTCTGATCACAGCAGCTGAATTCCCCCTGGAAGCGCATCAAACGACTGGAACAGGACAACGACGTTTCTGTAGCATCAAGGAAGAGCAATAGTTCCAGCAATACCTCCAGAACGCAAGAACCCCTTCGTTCCTGTATATCTGAAAGCAGGGGAGAAGCGTCAAGAGCATCGCACCAACTTTTTCTTTGCAATCTCATCGGAGGAAGAATTCAGCATCATCTCTCTACATCGCATCCTCCCAACGCGCTGCCCCCCTCCCCCCAGACCTCGACTCTCTTCTTCTGCTCAGATCTGCTCCTGCTCCTGCTCCTGCTCCTGCTCCTGCTCCTGGCTATCCTGTCCATCCTCCTGTCCATCCTCTCACCTGCGGAATGTAGTGCATGTATCCCGGACCGTGAGCTGCTGTACTTGCTTTGCTGTTTCGCAGAGCATGTCAACCCAGGCGCTCTCTCCCCTATCCTCCGACATCTCACCTGATCTGAAACAGAATTTTGATCTGCCAATACAGATTTAAGTTAGAAGATCACGGGCAGAAAGTTCCTCATCTCCATCATCTCCATCATGATCAGCAGCAGCACCAGCACTTCAAGTATTCTGTCTGATCTCCCTCCTCCTCCTCCTCCTCCTCCTCCTCCTCCTCCTCCTCCTCCTCCTCCTCCTCCACCATCACACCATCAACACCAACAATCATGATCACCCGCTCTACTGGAGCAATGCATGTTCTTGACACGATTCCCGCAACACTTCCTGCTCAGAAGATCAGTTCACGATCTGATCCCTGTGCAATCGAGAAGCGCACGGACCCGCAATCAGATATTCTTGGATGTTGTTCTCTCCATCCCTGATTCCCATCTTTGGCTCTCAGATCTGAATCCCCATGTGAGCAGGCAGCCCTGAAAGCCGAACAATGCAGAAATTGCCCATGCCCATCTCCACAACTCACCGGATGAAGATATCAAGGTGGCAGATTTGACATCAAGTGGCTACGAGTGATGGGCTATCCTGAGTTGTACGAGAAGGCTGTCAGTGATCACGATGCTCCAACAAGCTCGTCATTAATGCCGCTCTTTATGCGAGGCCTTCAGCTCTATCGCATGACTGATCTCCCCACCTGCGTCCCCCCTTGAAACATCTCCTCTTCCATGCACCTTGCACTCATCTTCGCCATCCACTTTTGCTCCTTCCTTGTTGCATATAGCATCGCAAATTATCATTCTCACTTGCTGTATCCTATCCAAGCTTGTGCCAACATGCCCGTCTACCCTGGATTCTCGACCTCGTGTCAAAGTCCGTACCAGTACTGTCATGTGCTGCACAGTTCTGTCTGTCTTAAGATGCCATACGTTGACTCACTTCTTCGCTGTGCTATCATGTTCCCTTCTCCTCCTCCTCCTTCAGGCACGATCGCCCCTTCCTGCCATTCCCCTCTACTCATTTTCGCGGCCGTACGATTTATCATTTTCTTTCGCCATCAGGGAGGGGTGGGTCAGTTTTGTAAGGGGTGGTGGAGTAAACTGCCATTTACTTCACCGGTACAAATGAAGTTTATTGTACGGGTACTATGCTAAACTTTCCGGGTCTGAGTGGGTAGGGTACAAGAAAGGGTAGGGTTATCAAAAAGGCTCAGGAACGAGCTTGCTGCCCGATCACGTTGGGGTAGGGGTATAGATGATACAGGGTAGGGGTGATCGAAATGGGGGGTAGGGGGTCAAGGAAACACGGTAGGGGTAAATCAATAAGGGGGTTAGGGTAGTGATAGATAGGGGTCAATCCATTCAAAATGACAGGTGAACATGGGTCATCTGAATTTATGTGTGGTGGGGTACTTGACTTTGACACCGGTACTGGTATTTCACCATGGGTGGTCTTAAAATGAATGCATGGCAAGTTGGGAGTGAAAGGGTGGGTGATCCATGTTAAAGTCGCAGAGCAATTAGGGGGTACTTTTGAGGTAGACGAAGGGGTAGTGGGGTACCTGAAGAAATTCTCGGGGTTCTTGTGGGGTAGTAGGGATCAGGGTGGGGTATAAGAAGGGGTAAACTCTCGATTTGGAAGGGGTAGTAGTGAGAGTACAAAAGGAACATCATTAGGGGGTGGGGTATGGCATTGGAATGTGCAAAGTAGGGGTACTGATTGTTATGTTGGTCGACCATTGAGGGTGGGGTGGTGCCCGTTAACTGGATGATCATGAGTAAAACTATAACACATATTAGAGACTTTTGTATTGGATCTTGGTCTTAAAATAGATTTTGGGATCGCCCACCACACCGGCACGGTGCGCGGGCCGCCGGGCCGAGGCCCGGGCGGCTGCCGGTCCGTCGGAGGCACTGGTCAGTGGGCCCGCCCCGTCGGGGGGCGCGGCGGTCACCAGGGGTGCCGGAACCTCCGGAGACGCCAGTGCCGGCCCGGGCCGCGGGCGTCCCCCGACTCCCCAGTCACGGTATCCCACTTTACTACATGGCTGAGTTTTTACCAGCGGAATTTTCCGGTTGCCTGGTAAAAACACCGGTAGGAAACCCTCAAATGAACCCCTACCTGTGAGACTCAAATCGGAGGGAATAGAGGCTCCGAGGTAAAAAAAAAACACCAAGAGGAGTTAGACATATCTGACGTTATTTTTAGCAACATCAGGAGGTAGGGTGGTGTCATCATGTCAGTTCCCACAGAATCGCATCGATTCATGACATGACCCCGTTGATTTGTTTGAAAAATAAGCTGTTCGTATCCGTTTTTCTACCCTGGTTTTCATTCTAAAAGGACCCGGTGGTATCTACTGGTCAGCGAAAAAAAATCCCGAAGCAGGCACAGGGCTCTTGTATATCTATTCTCTGCCTGGGGGTGGTATTTGTCAGTCGGAAGCTCTTGTACGTCTCAAGCGACGCAGGAAGCATGGAATGTCAAGAGAAGAGGATATGGAATATTACCTTTGTTCTACTTAGAGAATATTGAACCTCAGAGAAGTCAAAATCGGACTCCCAACTGATCTCGAAAAAGGGTCAAGGAGGCAGGGTATTGATGACCGGTACTGTTTCGGATCCTCATAGGCTCTTCATGGCGAGGTCGTGACCATGCCCTTGTCTGGTAAAGACCTTCCGCCCTCTTGTACCCCCTACCCCCTTTATTGTTCTCAGGACCCCGTAGATGAGTAAAGTATCTGATTCCGACACTATTACCCCTACTTTTCTATCATCAGTACCCCCCAAATTGGTTCAAATATTGTCATATCGTCAAATGACCCGGCACCACCCTACGTGGCCGTGCAACTTTCGGTACCCTACCCACCCGGTCAAGTTTAGAGTCTTTTACTACGAAAATATCATTCAGGTAACACACACCCTTGATATGACCTCCCACCTACCCAAGCAATCAACCACGTAGTGATTTCCCCTTTTGTACCCACCCATATCACACAAACCAACATGCACATTCACGTAGTACCGGTGTATGTCTCCAAGTACCCCCATCTCCTACCTTCCACCTTTTTTCACTAAATCCATTCAGATCGCTATATCTTTCAGGGACCCCTCGTCGGGCTGACCCACCCTTTTCTCTCCACTACCCCTCAAGTGTGCATAAGAAGCCGCAGCCCAAAACTTTCTCGGCAAAAGCTCTTATACAGATAGTCTCCCTTGAGATATTTCTGTACCCCCACCCCCTCATTGACTCCAACCTCTCCTCAGACCCATCAACCGAAGCAGTCTACAAATGGATTTAAAAGGGCTCTATATCATTTTATTGTATATCACTTTTTATTCGTAAAACTTTTTGTGGGAGTCACCAAAAGGGTACCCCCCGAGGGGTTTAAGCGACCATCCACCCCTACCCCCGAGTGTACCCCTCGGCTTCTCCCCGAGCCTTGGTGGATATCCTTTCATCACTACCCCTTCTATTTGTATCAGAAATTTGGAGCACCCCCACATAGTACCCCTTCTCCACCTTCGGAGTTTTACCTAGGTACCCTGGGTGGGTACCCCCACCCCTCCCTCCTAACATTCGGAACCAGACAAGATGAAAAGTACCCCCACCTACGGGGTAACACGGTAGAAACACTTCCCACCACCCTCAAGTCCAATTTCAAAAATGTACCCCTACCCCCTATGCTGACTTGAAGTACCCACCTTATTTAGAGCACAAAATACCATGAACTTGTCCACCACCCCTCCATAATCAGAGACTGAACCCCCCACCCACCCCTTCGTGTTTAAGACTCCCTGTCCAATCCAACCCCCTTTGTATCAACACCAATCACCCCTACCCCCTTCTTCACTCTGAAGTTGATATGATCAGGTCCTCACCCACAGCGATGACTTTGGACTGTACCCCCCACCCCCTTTTTTGCTCCAGGCAACTTCCACATCCCTATAGTACCCCTCCCACAAAATGAAAATGTACCCGTTCTTTCCCGGAACACACCAGCAAGAAATCACGAGTACCGGTCATAAAAAACCCCTACCCCCTATTACTCAACAATCCACCCCCTAAACCGACCCTGCAAACCCTGACCACCATCGGGCAGACATACTACCCCACCCCCTTCCACCTCGCACTCGTTTCCACCTTCTTCCCTCCACCTGCTACCCTCACACCTTCACTCCCATTACCCCACCCTCCTCCTCCTCCTCCTACCTCCCTCCCTCCTCCCTCCCCCTCTCCCTCCCCGTCCTCTTGCTCCACCCCCCTCCTTCCTTGCGCCTCCCCTCCGGATCCTTGCGAGCTTCTCTTCTCCCGACTTCTTCGATCTGTATCTGACCCCTTTGCCCCTCCTTCCTCCTTCCGACTTCATCCGCTCGCCGTCCCCTTTGCTTTCGCAACTTCCCGGAACATATCTCCTTTCCTCTCCATCCCGCCTCCTTCCTGACGAGTGACCTCTCCCTCCGCTTCGTACCTTCACTGTTTCCGAGAGCAAGCTGTGAATCAACTGCATTCTCACTGATCCAAAATCTTCTCAGCATCTACTGCCCCACCCACCGACTCTGCTTCCTGTTCCGAGCAACCTGCCAATACGTGTCATTCGTGTACATCCCGTCAGGGTGGAGGGGAGCAAAGCGCAGGCGACGGTGCTAGCCTTGCGATTTCTGCCTACTCCGCCACAGGGCGTGCAGACCCTGGCGAAACACAAACTGCACAAGCCATGCTCGCGCCGAGAGTCGCTCGAGTGTTTCCTCGCAGGAGGAGGAACGAGAGAGAGATAGACTCGAACAGGAGGGAGGAGATCGTGCTCACAGCGGCCGACATCACCAACATGTTCTACATGCGGCAGGCGGAAGCTGCCGAGAGCCTGGTAAGTCTCATGATAGCTGTTGCCACGCGTGTTGGTGTGAGGACGATGAACTCGAATACTCTGCCTGCCTCCTGCTTTCCACGTGCGTGTAAAGGTCCTGCACTTACGATGCTGTTGTTGATTGTTGTTCCACCAAACCCTTGAACAGACAGCTACTCTCCTCCCCTTCCTCCCCCTTCCGATCCTCCCCCGCCCTCCCTGCTGCCATCGCTGCTCTCCCTCTCTTACACGTGCTTTCAGGGGATCTCGCTGACGGCGCTGAAGAACGCGTGCAAGCAAGTGGGGATCGAGCACTGGCCGTACGCGAGGTCGACAGCAAGCAGAATACAAAAGAGCAACCTGATGATGTCAAACAATCAGCATGGAGGCGTCGACGCGCCCAACATGCCGGCGGAGCGAAGTCACTACGCTGATGTTATCAACGGGTCGGCCAGCGTCGCCACAAGAGCGCTGAGCAGCTTTCCTGACGCTGCTGCTATCAGCAACGTAACGCAGCATTGCTGGTCAGCTGGCTCTGTCAGCATAGGAGAAGTCCCGAGGAAGAGGAAGGCAAGTGCGGAGGATTGGGAGACGACGTGGTTCTATCCCTCAGGCCGCCAGGTGTCGGAGAACGATCTTGCATGCTTGCTGTCTGAAAGTCTGGTACATGTCATCGAAGGATGAGTAGAAGGGAGGAGGAGCCGGCAAGTGCTGGACCCATGATGGGAGGGGTGAATGAGGAGACGGCAGCATCTCTTTCTCCTTGCGGTGGTGAGGGTGGGACGTCAAGGTATCACAAGCAGGCAGCGACATGGCGACGGCGATGATGAGGATGAGGATGTTCTTTGTCATGAAAGCTTCTCCTTGCTGTCCTTGAATGTTTCAAAATGAAATTCTTCTTGACATTCCATCAGCACAGTTTTCCCGGTATTGAATTGTTGAATTGGTAAATTGTAATCAAAATTGCCTCGTGATGGCGTTGAAAGAAAAGTGTTAGAGGGTGCGATGGGACGAAAAGATGTAAGAAAGAAGTGTTGGTCACAGACGGCAAGAGGCAGGAAGGTGAAGGGAAACATCAACATGCAAGTGAAAAGATTCAGGCGGACAGAATAGGATAATCGGCAGAATGATAATGTCTCTGTCCATTCCTGCCATGTTGAGCAGAACTCAATCAAGAAATGTCACGTGGTTTTCAGGGCAAACTGAAAGAGTAGTCTCTCTTCCAACAAGACATTCTTTCATTGTATCATAGCAAACAAAAGCACACACACCCTCCCACTTTCTCTCTCATTCCTCCTCCTCCTCCTCCTCCTGCTCTCTAGGCAAGCGCAAACCCTCTCGCCTTCTTGGTGAGGACGATGAGAGCAGCGAAGCGGAAGAAGAAGAAGATTCCCACGAGGATCAGCCCGTACGCCCACCAGAGGTCCGGCTTGATGTCATTGGACTCCAGCAGCTGGGCACATGCTGGGCGTTGGAAGTCCCTGCAGCCGTTCTGGAACTCGTTGAGCAGGAAGAGGTTGATGCCGAACTTGAGGGAGCACAGATACTGGGCCCAACGGATCCATACGGGGATCTGCTGGATCTTGATGAAGAAGCCCGCAAAGAGGATCTGAGGGACGAAGATGGCCGGCGCCGCCTGCATGGCTACCTGAACGTTGGACGCCCAGCAGCCGGCGAAGAGGGCGGTGGAGGAGGCGGCGACGCCGATTAGCCAGTGGGCGATCACGTGGAGGATGAAGGAGCCATGAAACGCCTCAATCCAGTAGGCGATGAGGAAGGTGATGATGGACGTGCTGAAGGTCAGGGGGATCTCGGTGCACAGCTTCGACCAGAAGTAGGGGACGGCGCTGTACGTTCCCGTCGCGTACTCGCGGACGAACCGGGGACGCTCGGAGGGGAACAGGAGGATCACTGGCTGGGAGGCCCCGAACATGCCGCTGATGGCAAGGTTGGCCAGAGCTCCGAAGTGCGACGCGATGTCAGTGCCGTTGCCGATCTTGTAGAAGATGAGGGAGAAGATGAGGGTCAGTATGACGGCAGAACCGTACCTCGCCCCAGCGTACCCTTGTCCCTCAGCACACTCTGTACCTCCCTCTTCCCGAGGACGATGAACTGGGTCAGCCATCCTGCCTGCTGCCGCTGGATCTTCTTGAGAGACGCTACGTCCTCCGTGTTGCTGGCCAGGCTGTGAACGTCCCTCTCCCCCTCGACTTCTCGTACTGCTCGCACACAGCCACCAGCTTCTCCTTCTCCTCCGTCTGCATGAGGAACATCACGTGGTCAGCCGGGTTGGTCTCTGGGGGAATGGGACGCTCGATGGACGCAAGGTACGACCCCATGTCATGCACGGAGCCGTCGTAGAACGTCCTGCCGTCGCAGAGCAGGAGGACGCGGTCGAAGAGATGAAAGACCTCTGATGAAGGCTGGTGGATGGTACAGAGGACAGTACATCCCAGCGCCGCAAGGTCCTTGAGAGCGTTGACGACGTTGTAGGCAGCGTATGAGTCGAGGCCGGACGTCGGCTCGTCGAGGAAGAGGATGGAGGGGAAGTGATGATCTCAACGCCGATGCTGGTGCGCCTGGAGGAGGAGCAAGTTCAGAAGAGAGGAGGAGAGGGGGAAGAAAGCACTAGGGGAGTAGCGGAGGGGAGGGGAGACAATAGAAAAGTGATGAGAGACGATATGAAGAGGAGGAGGAGGAGGAGGAGGAGGAGGAGGAGGAGGAGGAGGAGGAGGAGGAGGAGGAAGCACAGACCTCTTCTCTCCTCCCGAGATGCCCTTGATGAGCTCGTTTCCGATCACTGTGTCGGCGCACTTGTCAAGGTGGAGGATGCTGATAACGTCCTCGATCATCGTCTCTCGTTCTTCCTTGGTGACCTCCGGCGGCAGCCGCAGCCTCGCACTGAACTCCAGGGCCTCGCGCGGGGTGGCAGTAGGGCAGAGCGCGTCCTCCTGCGTCACGTAGGCCACGTTGGGGCCGATCTCCTCTGCGCTGATCTCATGCCCGTTGACGGTGAACTTGGAGGTGACAACGTGCCCGTTCATGGACATGATCCTGCCGCTGAGCACGTTCAGCAGCGACGTCTTGCCGCTCCCACTCGCGCCCATGATGGCGATCACCTCGCCGGGGTTCGCACTCCCCGACAGGTTCTTCAGCACCCGCGGGTCCTTCCCTGAGCCTCCAATCACCTTGGGGGAGAGGGTGAAGGAGACGTCGGACCAGGCGAAGTGAGCCTTCTGCCCTACCCTGATCGCGCTCTCCTTGACCGATCGCCTCCCCATGCTCATCGTCGTCTCCCCTCCTGCCTCCAGCGCGCTCACGTTCTTCATCTCCTCGTTGCTCACCGTCTGGATTTCCCCTGAAGACATCTGCGCAGAGCGGGTTACTAGAAAAATTCGGGCATGAGCAGAACACTGAAGGGGGAGCAGGAGCAGGAGGAGCAGGAGGAGCAGGAGCAGGAGGAGCAGGAGGAGCTCAGCAGGAGAGGTAGTGTCCGTGGTATTGTAGTTAAGTTTCAACATGTTATCCTCCAGTCACGCTGCACCAAGTTTGCAACTAGTGTGCCCGAGTCTACTTTGCTCTGCAGCAATGATCCACGTGCAACGCACTCAACCCTCTCTCTCTTCTTCTCATCCCCTCCCTGCTCAACTCTTCCTATCGGACATCTAGTCGCTCCATGTCCTCCTTCCTCCTGGCACCATCTTCCCAGGCTCGTCTCCTTCCTCCACCTTCTCCTCCTCCCTTCGTTGCTCGTTTCTTCCATCTACTCCCTTCATGCTTCTGCCTTGTGTCAATGACCCCTACCCCCCATTAGTCTTTCAGTGACTATTCCACCCCCACCCAATACCACCCCAGTAGTCCTATCCTTGTATTGTCAAAGTATACCCTACTGTTTACTTGAAAAATCTGTTGAATACACCCGTACCTTTAGATGTAATGCTGCATCCACCCTTCCTTCAACATCTCATGACCCCCCATCACCCAGACATATACTACCCCACCTCCTTGCTCCTTCACTCTGCAATCAAGATCGCAAGTCCCTTATATAAGGCCTTGTAGGTGGTCCTAGCACATAGGCCCCTCCCATAAATGCTAGGACCACTCCTAGGAATCAGTAGGACCCCAGGCCGTAGACAGGACTCTTTGTACCGGTCCCAACTGGAATTTGACTCAAGTATGATCAGGTCCTATGACCTACGGTCAAGATAACTAGGACCAGGTCGTATGGACACTGGACAGAATGTCCTTGGGCTCAGCGGCTACCGTCGAGTTGCAGTGCGGCAGGTCACCCGGCGAGTCTGTCACTTGGGCCAGTGGGCGACGGAAAATCATGTCTCCGAGACGGGCCCTCTTACTGACTGAGTACTCACAGACAAGACGTCTCAGGTGATCCGACTTGCAAACGCATCCGGTCCAGGATCTTTCGTCAGCTCAAGGCCTCCCTGTCACCTTCGGTGCGATCATCGCAGGTAGGTGAAGGTATCAGTTACGTTTGGGGCCGGGACAGCAGTTGGCAGGATTGGGTTTGGTTCTCGCTGTCTTTTCTCTTCTCGCCGGTTGGCCTGTGCGACAGTGTCAGAGTCAAGCCTCCTCGACTCTCCTGATTGTCCTCGTACAGTACTGATTTTTAACTCACAGACTCAGTGGAAGAAGAGTTCTCACTGGCGCGGCACAGTCATGCCGCAGTGCCGGGCCGGGCTGGCAGCGTCCGCCGGGCAACAGTCGGCCTACACAGTTTGAAAGTGACTCACATTGACTGACATCTCATTTACGTTCATTCAATGCACAACTTTTTTTCTAATAGGCATGATTATGCGCCAGGTGGCTGCCAGGCTGCCGCAGTCACTGCGCGGCCCGGGCCCCCAGCCCCGCCGGGAGTCAGTCAAGTCAGTCCGCGGCGCGGCCCTGGCGGGCTGGCGGCGGGGCCAACCCGGCCCTCACAAGTTATGGGACAGGCTTCAACATAGTAGTACGGTAGCCCCGCCGGCAGTATCATGATCGCTCTACCACCATACTCAGAACTTCTGAAACAGCCAGGTCGGCCCCTTTGCAATCATACTATGATAGTATGAGCCAGTAACTCGTGAAACTGTTGCCGAACTTCGGAAGCTTCAACTGAGGCCGCAGTAGGTGAGCGGTCTAATCTGCTTTCTTGCTCTTCTTGGGCTTCGTCTGCGAGGCGCCAGCGCCTGACGACTTCTTGCCCGACCCTTGTGATCGTGACTTGCCCTGAACCGCCTTGTCGCTGCTGCCTCCACGGACCTGTTCAAATCAGGCAGTCAGAAGTGAACTCAGTCGAAGAAGGCGAGAGGAGAAAGTTGGTCGTGGGTATCACCAGCGAGATCAGTTGACTGGTGGCGGTTCCAGCCAAGAGGGCAGCGAGCTAGCAAGGTGTCAAAGGGAGACAACAAAGAAATCCTCCTCCTCCTCCTCCTCCTCCTCCTCCTCCTCCTCCTTGCTCCTACCTGCCCTCCGAAGGTTCCCAGCACTACGAGGTGGAGGATGCTCCAGTCCCCTGTTGGAGCAGGAGGAGTCATGGAGAACGAAACGAGCATCCAGTTCAAGGGCAGCACTCAACCTGTAAGGATGGAACGGAGGAAGGCTGGGTTGGGATTACACCTGGTGCTCGTTAGCTGGACCACAGGAGCAGCGTTGGTGTCCTTACACAACTCCAGTCATGGCAGACGGCAGGAGGCGGATGGAAGCCTGAATGAAAGCAGCCCAGAACGGCACAGTGAAGCCCTACAGCCGACTAGTCAGCCCGGAGAGAGCTGGACAGGTGAGAACTAGTACCATGATGGGGTTGAAGACCCTCATGAGGTAGCTGAGAAGGAAGAAGTGGCGGGCCTGGTCAGCGAGGTGAGAAGACGCCGGGCACACTGTCCCGTTATCACCTCGTCGTAGACAAGGTGGACAGGATCGATGCAGCAGCCCTTCGACTTGCCGGTATCGCACGTCCCTGAACCCGTTCCGTCAGTTCAGCGCACAACAGGGTCCACGCTCCACCCTGGATGGCGTCGTAGAAGCCGCACAGTGACATCTTGCAGGAGTTGGCCGTGTCACCATACCCGCAGACCTGTCATCAAGCTCTCAGTGCTCTCAGGGTCGTAGTTGCCGTTCTTGTCACCTTGGGGGCACCAAGGGCGGGAATGATGTTCTTTTCCACCCAATCCTTGCCCTGTACTTCCTTCAAGGCGTATGCGAGCAGCGGCGCTCCCTGTCAAGATCAGCCTGAGCGATGGGGAGCTTCACAGAAAAAAGCAACTCCCGCACCATCAACATGACGATCAGCTTCGTCCATCGCTTTGAACCCATCCCTATGGATCAGGGTCAGAGGCATTACTTGGATTTGGGGAGATGAGGAAAACCTGTGTTCAAGGCAAGGCCGACGGGATTGAATGCATCTCCTCCCCAGAGCCCAACGTTGACAAACTGAGAGAGGAAAAGCAAGCTTCAATGGTCTTCTCTTCAATCCAGTCTCATCGTACCTGCACAACAAACCCGTACGCTATACCAAGACGCGCCATGTTCCAGTCGAGTCCGAACCCTTGCTGCTTTGCCAAATCCACCGCCCAGGGCCTACAGGAGATTTTCAGGCTACTCCGCATCCTGCCAGGACGGTACACAGACGGTCCACGATACCAACCTTGAAAGGACCATGAGCAGGTGGAATGTACAAGGAACAATCCAGAACAGGTCCCAGATGGAGAAGGGTCCCCTAGGAACTCTGATACCATGCACGTCAGTCGATGCATGCAGGAGAACAATGAGACGCCAGAGTCGAGGACAATGCAGGATGAATGAATGCACGAGCGCCCCTCCGTGCCAGAGTTGCGATCACGAGGAATGCATGAGCGGGATGGGGGCTGAATGAAGCAGGGAGGGATTGAGGAGGGGGCGTTCGAAGTTGCACTAGTTTCTTGGTGGGTATAGTCAACAAGAAGCATGAAAGCGAGAAAGGAAGGTTTGCTAATGTCACCAACAGTGAGGTAAATAAGTTCGAAAGCACAAGGGCTGTGCACGAAGTAGGAAGGGTTCAAGCTTCAGGGCCCAAGGTTCGAGGAGATCGAGGACAAGGAAGGGGACAAAGAGATGGAGATGATGAATGCTGAGGAGGAGGAGAGGAGAGGAGAGGAGAGGAGAGGAGAGGAGCAAGGGTATCGGATCACCGGACGAGCGGCGGACGTAAGGAGAACGAGAGCATGGCGGCCAATTGGAGGAAAACGGGAGGGGTAGGGGTCTTGAAGAAATGGGTAGGGTGGATCAAATACAGGGGTTCTCAGGAATGTAGGGGTAGTTTGAATATGGAAAAGTAGGGTAGGATGCATAAGATCGAGTACCCCAGACCCTAAATCTGATGATTACCCCCTCTTTTACATGGTAAAAGTAGGGTAATGCGAAGTCCTCCCTGGGAATATAAGGGGTACTTGCTACAAAATAAGCTCTATGTGTCAAATTACGGTAGGGGTGGGAGGGAATGGGGGTACTGGTCAAAATTACGTAGTCGCTAGGATGGGTGGGTAGGGGTAGGGGTGTAACGACAACAGGGAACACGCCTCAGCCATCTTTGAATATTTTATGATCAATTGTCTCAGAAACTTTGAAATTACCAAAAACAATTTGAAAAGAGTTTCCAGTTGGGCCTCGCTCCCCCAATATTTTCCTGATTTCGTGAAATTATTTTCGAAATTCAACAATCCCCAATTACCCCCAGGTCACCGTTGATACCAATGACCCCCACCCCTGTCTAAAATTCACATTTTGTAGCGTTGTTCCATGGAATTAAGGTACCCCACCCCCAGTTTATCCTTGTTCTCGTATCTCCTTCTTTTTACCCCGAGGGGTCCTTCGCTCCCCAGTAAACTTGTCCCTCACATCTCCCGACAACCCCCTGTTTCTGGATACCACCCCACGTTTCCTCCTCGACTACCCCACCGTTTGCCTATAAGGTACCGTCCCCTTCACACCCCCACCCCTCCACATATCCCCAGCGCTATCTCCTGCTATGCCAGCGGCTGCGGCAATACAGAGAGGACGAGGAGGGGAGGGGGGCTTGAACCATGAAGAATGTCGAATCATCATCGCCATGCTCATGACGCTTCCATCCATTCTCTGCTCCTGTCTCCTGCTCTTGTGCTGTTGATCAATGCTCCATGCTCCACTGCTTCCCCGCCATCGTGAACTCATACACTGATGTTCTTGTGATATATGCACTCACTTTCCTGCCGCCTTGCAACAAGGCATTTGTTCATATTTCTATTGTGTACGTTCTTATCTTGTGTCATTTTTGCCATGTTCACAGTGACGAACGTCACAGAAACACACACACGCATTGTATTTGATGTGAAGCTAGATAAATTTCCCTTGTTCCTATTGATCTCCTGTCTTTCATCCTGGTTCATAGAGCCTCAAGGATAGTGTGTTGGAAACTTACCATGTCTCTGTCAAACAACATGTTCTCGTCTCTGAAAGGCAGCGCGCGAGCAGATAGTACTCTCAGAAGTGTTCTCCACCGTAAATAGGATACAACGACACGATTGCTTTGTAGTTTTGTGTATTGAGAAAAACTGCCAGCGGAACGCTCGATAATCATGCATATTGTTCATGTGTCGATTTAATGCTTGATGTACCCGCCATTGACACGGCTCTCGAGTGTGTATCTCTTTTAATTCACCATTTTTGTTCTATGTATTCCGATTCCACTGCCACACATTCTGCTGAGATTTGCTCTGGCTCACCCCTGGTTCTGTACAGACCGTCCGATCCTCCTTGCCTTGTAATAGCTGAAACCAACTATGGGAACAAACTCTAGCAGGTTGTATGGATGTGCTGACCCACTCGAGTTAGAGGAGGACGCTTTCTCCTGACTCCCTGCGCGCAGGCCTGGTGAAGGGGGAGGCAACCAGGGTGGACAGGGTGCTGGTGATACAGGTAGGTTGGTGTAGAGAGCATGCTGAGGATGGTAAGAGGGAAGGTACACTGATCGCTGTTTGGTGGGCAGGCATGGCAGGCAATCCCAGTCAGATGGGGTAAGTCGTTGAGGACTTGTTGTTTGCTTCGCTGACTCAGAGGTTGAAGGTACGGGGGGACGAGGTTTGCTGGAGGCAGCACAGGTACAGGAGGAGGTGGAGGAGGAGTTGGTGGTGCTTGTGGAGGAACAAGAGGAGGAGGGTTGGATCTACAGGAATATGGGAATTCACTTGCTCTCAAAGGACTTTTTGCTCCGAGGCCTGATGGAAGCCTTTTTGTGCCGAATTCTCAAAGACAAGTGAGGAACTATGCATGGTGCTGACGCCGTTGGGTCACAAGCACACGGCAGGTCCCACCTGCTCCTCAACTACAACTCACGGAAACCATTCGCAACGATGTAAACCTCAAAAAGCAGACGCTGAAGCTGAACAAGGTCAAGCTCCTAAGGGCAAGCGAACCATCATGGACCTGATCCCATCTGCAGTGTGCCAACTCGCCCAACACCTACTGCCTGGAATTCCTCTTTGATGCTGCTGCAGACTGCACAGTTTCCATCTGGTGAGAAGGGCCCCATTGAGGAGTATCTGCGACTGAATGCTCTTTGCGATCAGGTTCCTTGCAGAGGAACAGGTCGACAGCGCTAACAACACCATCAAGTTTGAAACTTCCTACGAAGTGAGTGGAACCTTGTCCTGCCCTCTGACCTTGCAAGCTCAAACTCACACGGCGGCAGATTCAGCCAAAGACCGTCAAGTTCAAAGCTGCCCTCGGGCAACACTTCACTCAGCCTGAGAACGAGGTTCGATTAGAGGGATGCGAAGTTGTGATGTTGTTGCTGATCTTGGCTGTTCCTCTCTCCTCCAATTCCTACCCATCCTTTCAGGGGTTCAATGTCTCGTTAGTTCAGAACCGTGGACAAATGTACTATCATCATGGATCGCAGGTACTTGATGCGTGTAATGTGGAGTATGAAGGGTTGAACTTGTTCTTGCACCAGCATTTCCCCATTGTCATCATGTTGCAAACTTGCGATGAGAACGCGCACCGTGTGCAATCACAGAGCACGTTTGCAACATTCAAGGTAGGAGAGAGACAGGAATCTTGTTGACTCTGATTCTGGCTCAGTCGAACGCCGATGGGTCTCTTTCGGTAGCCGTTATCAAGCAGAAGATTCAAGTGTGGACAAGTTGTTTGAGTGATGGATGAGTGAGATGATGGGTTGTGATAGGTCAAGGGCAACGCTTATGAGCTACAGGAAATCTACGGCATTGAACAGGTGACTTGTGATGTTTGTTCTGGCTGCCTCGTTCCATCAAGCTCCCACTTCTTGCATCGTAGATTCGAGCAATTCCTTGTTTCTTCGGCTTGGCTTGTCTTGAGAATTCTCGTTTCTTCATCTTGATCTTCAACTCCTCTTGAGCTACTTGTCGCTTCAAACTTCTCTTCATCTTCCACTGTCTTGCGATCTGTCTCGCAGTCACACTTAGCTTCAAAACCTGAATCCAATCACATCATACGCTTCATCCTCTGCTTTCTCCATTACTGTTTCTACCTCACCTTTGCATGTCAACTGATAGCATGATGCGCTACAGAACGACGCTGAGAACTCCAAGGAGTGTGTTATTTGCATGTCGGCGCCAAAGGACACTACAGTCTTGCCTTGCAGACACATGTGCATGTGCAGGTAAAGTTTGACCGCTGGCCGTTGCAAGTCACGTGTCATGTTGTCAACTCCTTGCGGCGCAAGCGAGTCATCCTCTCTCGTCCACGGCAGATTGTCCCATGATGTTTGATGTCAACCTGAATGTTTCTTGACGTGTTGATCAAGATCGCGCGATCATTCCGCTGATGTGTTGTTACTTGCTGTTGCGTTGTTCACTTCGAACTGCTTTCTGACGCAACTTCACCTGCAGCGATTGCGCGAAAGTTTTGAGATACCAGACCAACAAGGTGGCGATCTTGCTTTGTCCTCGATTTCAACTTTCACAGCCTTGAAACTCTCCGACGGTGGAGAACTGACGAGTTTTGCCTTTTCAGTGCCCTATTTGCAGATGTTCAGTAGAGTCGCTCTTGCAGATCAAGGTCTGTGCAAGTGATGATTGAGTTGTTGCTTGTCGGGATAAAACTGACTTTGACTGTCCTTGATTTCATGTTGTCCTGACCGCAGTGCATGACGAGTTGTTTTGATGCGTGTTGTCTTGTTTTTGACCATGGTTGAGGAGTATGAGTTTTTTTGCCATTTTTATTGTTTTATGTGTATTCATGCCAACTTCTCAACAAATGCAACAAGAAACCCAATACATAAGATGTTTCACATGGTGTGAATGTTTCTTTGACGCATGATACTTATTTTTCTGTATGTTGGGCAATATGTTATCAATTGCCCTGTGTGTGCATGACGTGATGTATATTGTCTAGATACATTCACACGTCATGACATGACATGCATGTTCTGTTGTTGTGAATTCGAGATGACAAGATGTATCAGGTCAACTCGTCGGGAGAAACTGCTCCTGTTGGCAACTCTTGAATGTGATTGGGAAAATCTTTAAGAGTTTTCACAATGATTGTTTCGAAGTTGCGCTGCTCGAAGCAAGTTTAAGTAACAAGATAGGTAGAAATCTGCGCTCAACAGAAAAAGTATGAGACTAAGGACGGCGGGAGAGAGAGAGAGGAGGGAAGAGATTTTGTTCTTTATGATGAAACGAGAGAAAAACGTGTTGTGTTGTGACGTGCTGATTTCAAAGAGACCTTGAGCACATGTACAACTCAGCAGAGTGTACAAGTGAAAATCATGAAATTTCTTACATCAGAAGAAACCAACCTTGACGTTCCCAGAGGAGGTGACTGATTTCAATCTTCCTGGAAAGCTCATGTCAACGTTCTGACCGATGCATATTGAAGTGTTGGTGACCAAAGTACAACTTGAAGAGGTCGGATCGAGTTTCAGCCATGCTCGTCAGACTCCTGGCCTTGCTGTCTACCCACATGTCGACCAGGACGTACTGGGAGGAGAGTAAGAAGAAGAGAAGTGAAGGAGAGGAGAAGTGAAGGAGAGGAGAAGAGGAGGGAGGAGCAAGTGAGTCGGATGAGATGACGATGATGATTGCGAAGACGATGGAGGGAAGGATAGAGGAGGAGGAGGAGGAGGAGGAGGAGGAGGAGGAGGAGGAGGAGGAGGAGGAGGAGGAGGAGGAGTAGCTCTACCTTGAGGTTGTGCAGGTCGAAGGCTCCCATCTCAGCGAGACGACAAAACTTTCCTGGAGTACCTGAGGACAGAGAGTGAAGGAACGAGAGGAGAGGGAACACAGGACAGGGCAGGGCAGGGCAGGACAGGACAGGACAGGACAGGACAGGACAGGACAGGACAGGACATGACAGGACAGGACAGGGAGGAGGGGCGGAAGGGTGTTCGAACACGTGAGCATAATCTTTGGTAATACCAAACAAGGAGGAAGAGGAAATGGAAAAGCAGGAGAAGGAAGAAGGGGAGGAGGTGGTGGTGGAAACGAGGAGGAGGAGGAGGAGGAGGAGGAGGAGGAGCAGCAGCAGCAGCAGCAGCAGCAGCAGCAGCAGCAGCAGCAGCAGCAGCAGCAGCAGCAGCAGCAGCAGCAGCAGCAGCAGGACGCAACATCAACTCACCCACGAAGATCCTTGAGTCGATCAAAGACCTCTGGAGGCGATGTTGAAGCATCTGAGGCTTGAGAAGGAAGAGCCTGGCAACGGGGCACTCGCCGTCAAACTCGGAGATGGCGTCTGAGATGATCTTGCAGCGCTCTGTAGAGATACAGAGGATGAGGAGGACTGGGGCAGCGCGGTTGGAGATGTATCTTTGCCCTCGCGTGATACTGATGTTGAAGGATGTGATTTCAGGGATCAGATCTGGTCTTTCTTTCTTGTAGAGCTTGTCGAGTAACACTGCGAAATTGTCATCATCTTCACCAGCACCATCGTCCTCTTCCATGTTGTTATTCATCATCGTCATCTCCTCCTCCTGCCCCTCCGCGCGCTCCTCCTCTCCTCCTCGTCTCCTCCTCCTCCTCCTCCCTCCATCGTCCTCCTCGTCCTCGTCCTTCTCCTCGTCGTCTTCCACAATCATGTCTATCATCTCCATCGTCATCATCATAGCACTTACTTAAACTCAACGGGGGTCTGACAATTGTCAGGGTCACATTCGTTCCAGCTTCTCCACATATCATGTTTGCAACGTCGGCAATGCGATCTTTGATCGGACCCGAAGCTATCACCTTGTAATCTCATCTCATTGCAAGTTCACAATGTTCGAATCATCATCACAAACCTTCTTCAAAGACTTTCCGTCAACAGAGATGATGTAATCTTGCTCTTTCAACCCGCAGATGTCCGCTGTCAAGATGGAAAAGTGAGATGCTTGCATGGTTGTGGAGCAAACAAACGATCTTCTCATCAGAGATACAAGAACTCCTCAACAACCCATCTCATGTCCAATAAGAACATGTTCCGCAATACACTTGTACAGCTCAATCAGTGCAAGAGTGTACATGCCTGGGCCTTTTGTCAAAGATTGTTTGATGAGAACGATCCTCCTGTCAGGATGAACAACATCTGGGCGATCTATGTCCAGCTCAACACCAATGCCGCAGTTGTAGAGATCCGGGAGAAGTGCGTTGGAGTCTCTGGGATGGGTGTTAGAAAATGTGGGAAGAGAAGGTAAGGTGAGGTCACATGCTCTATCATCTATCATCATCATCTCCATCATCAACATCATCATCATCATCATCATCATCATCATCATCATCATCGTCTCCATCGTCATCATCACCATCATCTCCATCATCGTCCTCATCATCATCATCATCATCATCATCATCATCATCATCTCCATCATCTTCATCATCTCCATCATCCATTCCCCATTCCACATTATCTTTCTTACTTCTGACAAAGTTGAACCTTCCAATTAGGACACAGCTCTTTGATGTAACTCGCAAGCGCGTTTGCGCGATCCCTCTTGAAGCTGCTGGTGCTGTTGACATACGATGAATACGGCTCAACGAACTGATCCTCATGGATGTCTTGGGCAAGGAAAGTATCTCGTGAGTCCTCGATTGCATTCTAATAGGGAGAAAAGTCAGACAAGTCGAACAAACACACGAACAACAAGCGGAGCAGCAGCAGCAGCCCTACCACCACCAGCGCCATCAGCAGGAAGATGATGGAGATCAGGGAGGAGGAGGAGGAGGAGGAGAAGGAGGAGGAGGAGGAGAAGGAGGAGGAGGAGGAGGAGGAGGAGGAGGAGGAGGAGGAGGAGGAGGAGCAGCAGCAGCAGCAGCAGCAGCAGCAGAAGCAGCAGCAGAAGCAGCAATTTCAAGATCATGATTCTGGTGTAGGACTTCACAAAGTCTCCAAAGACACTCAATCACCGCCAACAATGCAGATGGCGTGAATTTCGACATCTCGATAGCTCGAAGCCCTTCGAAGAAAACCACATTCTCAGTCTTGTTGTTCTTACAGACCTGCAAGACATTTTTGTCAGATGTTACTCCTTGATCATCACAAAACGTTTCCGTCCATCATGTAAAAGGTTTTCTGCCTCTCATTGTATTTGTTGAGAACTGATCGCAACAAAAGAAAACATTCCCGCAACAAGAAAGATTTCAAATTTCAACATCTCGTCCAATCATCTTTCAAGCATGAGAACTGAAAACAGGAGAGCTGAAAACATCCACAACAATCTACAAATTGAAAACTCACATTGAATGCTTCATTCTCCCGCAGACTTATAATGGAAAATCCCTTGCCAAAAGAGTGCTTCAGAAACACCTGCTCCAGCGTCGTTCGCAACTGTGACATCTCCACAGGAATCGAAGGCATGAACAGGTATTGATCGTCGAGAGACGACGAAGGTTGTTGTTTTCCAACCAATTTTGGCAGTGAGGTAGACTGTGCCGACGGAAGTTTTGCTAGTCTGAACCCTATGGCATACATACACCTCAGCCCTCCCTTGCAACTTGCGACGCGGGATTGGAACATTGCGTTGCCACGTCTGATCACGCGAACTTTCTCGTCTTGGCGGTTGTTGACGATGTTGGTAGCATACAGCAGTATTGTCTCAACACAAGTTGCAAATTTCTTCCTGCTGTTCACGTTCTGCTGCATGTAGTTCAAGGACGATCGCAGGTCCATCCCTCCCTTCCTCTTGATCCAAAACACCTCATCCTCATCCTCTTCCACATCATCATCATCTTCATCTGAGTCCGAGTCGTCTTCCTCTGAAGATGAGGATATTGACATAGATTCCTCCTGTTTCTTCCGAATCATCTCCTCCAACGACACACCCTTCTTGAAGTGTTCATCGGTGTATTCTATCCCCTTCTCCTGAGTCTTTTTCCTGTTCGAGGCTTTCCACGCTGCCTCCAGCACTTTCATGGACGGTAACGGTTTCGTCGGCCGGTTCGACATCTGACTTGCAGCGTCGACTCGCTTCTCTTTCCCGTCCTTCTTTCCTTGTGTGTTTCTCGTTTCCTCTTCATCTTCACTGTCGCTGACGTCCGCCATGTCTTGACCTGTCCTGATCGCCTTCGTCGCTCTTCTTACCTTGGCCAGAATCTCCTCCTCACGTTTCTTGGGGTCAACTTCGTCTCTCATAACTCCCTCCTCCTCCTCCTTCTCCTCCTTCCCCACGTCCATACCATCCATCTTGAAAGGCTTGTTATCTTTCTCCTTTGTTCTCTTTGCCACTTTCTTCAACCTTGTATTAGGTTTGCTTGCCATGACTTTATCATCAAACAATTCATCGACCTCGCCATGTCTCTTTGAACCATGTTTGCTCCCCTTCAAACCCTCGTCCTTGACCCCCTTGTTTCTTCCTTCGAGTTTCTTTTCTCGGTCTCTCAAGTTGTCGTCGACAAACTCATCCTCCAACTTTTTCATCCTCCGCGCCTCCTCCTCCTCCTCCTCCTCCTCCTCCTCCTCCTCCTTTTGCTTCCTCTTCTTCCGTTCTATTTCCTCTTTGGTCCCTTTGTCTTTCATTCCCTCCCTCTCCTTCTCCCTCTCCTTCATGTCCTTCTTTTCTTTCTTGACCTTGTTTTCCTTGTTTTCCTTGTTTTCTTTCTTGACCTTGTTTTCCTTGTTTTCCTTGTTTTCCTTGTTTTCCTTGTTTTCCTTGTTTTCCTTGTTTTCTTCCTTGTCCTTCTTTTCCTTCTTGCCCTTTTGTTTCTTCTTTTCCTTCTTGCCCTTTTGTTTCTTCTTTTCCTTCTTGCCCCTCTCCTCCTCCTCCATCTCTTCGTCTTCTACCGCATCCCGCATCGCTTCCCAATCAAAATCATCCACCTTCACGTTCTCAAGATAATCCTCCGCATCTTCCAGGGACTTGAAGTCCGCGCTCGACACCTTGAGAGCTTTCAGCTTCTCCTTCACCTTTTCCTCCCTCTTCCTCCTCTGAACTCTCTCCTTCCTCGCTTCAGCAGCTCCGTCCAGCTCCCGCAGCTTTCCTTCCACGTGCTTCTTCAAGGAATCAATCTCAGATTGTTTGTACATGCCCTTGAGAAATAGCTCCTGCCCGTCCTTTAGCTTCTTCTCCAACTTTCTTCTCAACGCATTCTCCTTATCAGTTGGCGTTCCTGCGTCCTGCTTCTTCCTCTCAAACTCCGAGTCTTCTTCTGAGGAAGAGCTCGATAGCTTCGAAGTCGACCTTGCCTTGCTCACGGCGTTGAGCGATGTCCAACCTCCCGCTGTCCTCTCCTCCTCCTCCTCCTCCTCCTCCCTGGACGCTCCTTCCGAACCTTCCTCGCTGTTCGACACGTGAAAGCTGAACATTTTCCTCTTCATCTCTTCTCTTCTCCTGGCAACGTCTTCGAACGTCGGCATGATCGCTCCTGTCTTCGAAGCTATCTCCACCTCCCTCATCCACATCTCCTCGACGCTCTCCAACTTTCCTCTCTCCGCCAGGTTGCTCTTGTGATCTCTCGACGTCTGCGTGTACCTTATCCCCCCCGTTGCTACCTGCGGCCGCTCCTGCTCCAGAATTTCTTCTGCTCTTGCCCGCTGCCTGTCAGCATACTTGGCGTCTGCCGCCAGCCGTTTCCTCTCTCGCACCCGCTTCCTCCTCTCCTGTTTCGTCAACCTCTCCTCCTCCTGCCAACCGTCAGATCTCAGAAAACGCCGCCTTGTACATCAACATGGTTGGACATCGTTGGTGAAGACAGCAAACATTGCAAACACTGTCTGGCATCGCTCATGAAGACAGATATCACTGCAAACACATTTTGACATGGCTCATGAAGACAGATATCACTGCAAACACTTCTCACCGTCTCTGAATCCTCGTCCATGCTCGCATGACCGCCACGGAGGCCGTGCAGTCTTAGGAAAGCAGACGCTGTCGTGACTGCCCTGGGGGACATGGCTCTTGAAGAGAGGGTCGCCGCATGTGGGCATGCGTTGGATCTACAGATCTCAACATTGCAGACTGTCAGGAGGAAGAAGAATCCTGCGATGCTGCCTCCAATACGCTGACGGGAAGGCATGGCTAGCACTCGTAGAGCCTGCTGATAATGCTGCCGTCTCAACTCTTCAAAGCATGGCGAGCGAGCGCCTCTGAGCAGCGCCAGCGCTGCATGGATACAGCTGGTCGAACATGGTCAGACTTGTCGCTCCTTCTCCTCCTCCTTCCTCAACGTGCTCTCATCGCAGCATTTTCATGTCCATACCATCGCTCCTCCTCCTCCCTTGAAGTCCATTCCGTCGATACCACGTGGGAGATGCGGCCGGTGAGAACGAATAACTACCTACCCCTCAAAGTATGGAGATTATCAGGGGTACAGAAACAAAAATTGATCATTGTTGTACTGAATAAGGTATGTGAGTAAAATATATCAACATGTCGTTCTACTAATAGACGCCTCGTGGGATCCCGAAAGGAGGGTCGAGCAAGGGAGGGAAGGAAAAGAGGAGAGAGGAGCAGCAGAGGAGAGGAGAGGAGAGGAGAGGACTGGACTGGACTGGAGGGCAGGGCAGGACAGGACAGGACAGGACAGGACAGGACAGGACAGGACAGGACAGGACAGGACAGGAGGCGAGGGGAGAGGCGAGGAGGTCAGAGGGAGGTCGATGGAAGTGGAGCAGATGAGGGAAGCCAAGGAAAAGATTAACAGAGAGAAACGGTTTGACGAGAAGTAGGCAGGACAGGACCAAGAAGAAGAAAAGACAAGAAATCAACATATGGAAAATTCAAAAATGTTCTTGATTGTTTGCTTCATTTGAAATGCTTCAAACAAACGTGTTTTCATCTAACAATCAGCAATGAGCTCGTCAATACTGCAGCAGTGCAGAAGAGACAGTTGCGATATCTAACAAAAAGGAATGTAATATGTGACAAGGACGAAGGAGTGATCAGAAGTTTACATCTATCCTTTGAAGAATTGAACTCCCTGTAACATGTGAAGATGTAAGAGATTGTGAATGATACAGCAAGACAAACAACCTCGGCCGACATTCTCCACCTTCTTCCTTCGTCAGTGTCAAGCCAAACTTTCCCTGGTAGTGAAAATCAGCATGTAGATCAGACACAAGTAGCAAGTCACCTTCTTCTGAGCTGAGGAAGTTTTCCAGCCACTCTCTCTCGCTGTCTGCGCGATCGATCTCAGAGGTTGAAACATCAGCATATATGCATGACAAGCAAGCTGGACCAACACACACATCAAACACTCATATACTAGGGTAACATACATAATCTCGTCATCATCATCTCCATCATCGTCATGATCATCTCCACCATCATCATCTCCACCATCATCTCCATCATCATCATCATCATCATCATCATCATCATCATCATCATCTCCATCATGTCAAGGGTTTCAAGTCAAGCAAACCTGGTATTTCTCCTCGCGACTTTGCCGGGTTACCAGAACTCTGGACATGAGCCGGGGAGTCGGAACGAAAAACAACTTGCGGAGCATCAAAAGACTCTTTCTGTTCTGCGCCATGTTGACCTTTCCTGCTGTCTGCGGGCTGTTCCCTTGACAAGACAGAAACATTCATCTTGACTGATGCATTTGTTTCCTGACTTGTCTGGCCAAGTCTGTGATCCTTGGATGATGATGATGATGATGATGATGGGAAGCTGCTTGTTTTCTTCACCTTTGAAAGTCACATGATCACTGAGTCTGTGCACGCGTGGAGGAGGAAGAGAGCAGCAGCAGGAAGACCAGGACGAGGACAAGGGCAAGAAAACGCATGGAGACGAGCAGGAGCAGGAGCCGAAACAGGAGCAGGAGCAGGAGTAGTAGGCTGGAGAGGCAGGGAAGGCAGGGAAGGAGGAGCAGGAGCAGGAGCAGGAGCAGGAGCAGCAGGAGCAGCAGGAGCAGGAGTAGTAGGCTGGAGAGGCAGGGAAGGCAGGGAAGGAGGAGCAGGAGGAGGAGGAGGACGAGGAGGAGGAGGAGGAGGAGGAGGAGGACATGAGATAAGGTAACCTCTATTCCGCGGGAGAGAACAGGTCCAAGAATCGACTGCTGCTCACGAGGCTGCAGCTGCAACGAGAACGATGTCAAGGCTGCAAAAACCAAAACTTGGGCAAAAATGGAATAAGGTGATGAGAAGAAATGGTAGTAGGAAAAGGGACATGGGAGTAGGAAAAG